TAAGAACTTTCTCTACATGATAGAAAATACCCTTTTTTATAAATGGTGCTAAGATAATTTGACATAATATTAAATGTAAGTAAGTAAATAAATGAACCAGGACCCCAAAGTTACACTGTACATAAAAAAACCAATTCAGGTAGATTTCAGGATTAAATGTAAAAAGAAGAACAAAAAAGCACTTAGAATATAACATAGTAGAATGCCTTCCAAATCTTGAAATATGAAAACGTTTCTTCAATTATAAACAAAAATGCAAACTGCAAAGATCAACAAATCTAAATACTTTAAAATTAGGCATTCTCATCAGCAAATTCAACATTTAGTGTGAAACAGCAACCTACAGAGAATAAATATCTGAACCACTTATAACTGACATGGACTTGATCTAGAACATATAAAGTTCCAGAAATCATTAAACAAAGGCAGACAACCAAGTTGGGTGTGGTGGCACACACTTGTAGTCCCAGCCTCCCAGGAAGCTGAGGCAGAAGGATTGCTTGAGCTCAGGGGTGGAGGCTGCAGTGAGCTATGACTGTGCTGCAGTACTCCAGTCTGGGCAACAGAGCAAGACCCAGTCTCAAAAACAATAACAACAACAAACAAAACAAAGGCAGAAAACCAAATGGAGAACAGGCAAAATAAACTCTAGATACTTCAAAAGGGAAAATTCAAATGGTCAAACAATCCATATGAAAAAGTACACAACCTCATACGATATCGGGGAAATGAAAGATAAAAGGAGATGTAACTAAAAATGACCAGGTTGGCAAAGCTTTAAAAATATGACAACTCTAAGTATTATTATTATTTTTTTGAGTTGGAGTCTCACTCTGTCACCCAGACTAGAGGGCAGTGGCCGCTCCCGGCCACCACAGCCTTGACCTGCTGGGCTCCGGCGATCCTTCTGCCTCAGCCTTCCAAGTAGCCGGAATTACAGGCATGTGCTACCATGCCCGGCCGATTTTTGGCTTTATTGTAGAGATGAGGTCTCAGCAAGTTGCCCAGGCAGGTCGTGAATCCACGGGCTCAGGCAATCCACTCACCTCAGCCTCCCAAAGCACAGGATTACAGGCTGAGCCACCGAGTCTGGCTTGACAACTCTTAAGTATTGATGAACATGTGAAGGAATGGGAACTCTCATACTGTAGGTACAAGTGTAAATTAATTTTGGACAACAGTTGGCCATTATCTGGTAAAGATGAAGACGCACACAGTCTATGAACCAATAAGTTTCACCTCTAGGAAATACCCTAAATAAAAGTGAATACATGCGTATAGGATATATACAAAGAAAGTCCTTAGGACTGCTGTATGCAATAATGAAAGATCAGTAGAATGAGTAAAAAAACTGGTCTATAGTCAGGTAATAAAATATCAGCCAGAAATGAAAGTCAGTGAATTATAGCTATATTTTACAACATGAATGAATACTAAAAACATAAGGTAAAACTAAAATGTTTATAGATGCAAACTTAGACGGTGAAACTATAAACACAATTAAACCATTATTTCATTAGTACGGACAGTGAGGCATTCAGGGGCAGGGCTAGCGGTGGATGAGAGGAGGCACACTAAGACCTCCAGAGGGCTGCCAGTGTTCTCTTTTGGATCCCAAACGGTAATTTTAAAGCTGTTTGTTGTCTCAGGTTTAAAAACGTGTCCATCTATGTTCCATATTTTTTTTTCGTATGCAGTATACTTCACTGTAGGAAAGTTTAAACAACGACAAAGTAAGGTAATAAAATTGTGGTCAGTCTGAAGGGAGGGACAGGGCAGACTGGTAACTTCAAAGATGACTGAGTTGTGAGGTTTGATTTCTTAAGCTAAGCAGTGAGTACGCTGCTATTTCTTTTATTGTTATAGTTTATACATGCACTTTATATATTCTTTTATAGGTATAATGTCACCAAAAGTACAAGTGATAAAAAATATTGACATATTAAAATTTATAATTAAAAACTTTTACACTTCAGTCAGGCGTGGTGCTCATGCCCGTAATCCCAGCACTTTGGGAGGCGGAGGCAAGAGGACTGCCTGAGTGCAGGAGTTCGAGGCCAGCCTGAGCAACTTGGTAAGACCACATCTTTACAATAAATTAAAAAATGAGCTGAGTGTGGTGGTGAGCACCTATGGTTCCAGCTACTTGGAAGGCTGAGGCGGAAGGATCGCCTGAGCCCAGCAGGTGGAGGCTGTGGTGGCTTGGAGCATGCCACTGCCCTCCAGCCTGGGTGACAGGATGCGACTCCGACTGAAACAAACAAACCAACAAATAAAACTTTCATACTTCAAATAACAATATGAAGAAAGTTCAACAATTAATTCACAGGAAATATTTATAAATGACATATCTGGTAAAAGATTTGTAACCAGAATAAAGAACTCCTTCAATTCAACAAGAAGATGAATTACACTATTTTAAAATAGCAAAAGATTTTAATAGACTTGTCTCGAAAGAAGATATACCAAAAAAGATATGCTAATAAGCATATGAAAAGATGCTCTTTAGACACTTAGGGGAAGGCAAATCAAAACCACATAAGACTCCACTTCACACCCACTAAAGCAGCTAACAAACAGATGGATGATAACAAGTACTGGTGAGGATTTGGAGAACAGGAACTCCTGATCACTGCTGACGAAAATAAGACATGGTGCAGCCACACTGAGAAAAGAGCTTAAAGGTTTCCCAAAATGTTAATCACAGATATACAAGCCATACATATGACCCAGCAAACCCACTCGTAGGTATCTACCCAAGAGAGATGAAAACATATGTACACACACAGACTTGTACCCAAACATTCACAGCAACATTATTCCTCACAGCTAAAACGTGGAAATGATCCAACTGTTGATCAACTGACACATGGATAAACAAATGCTGGTATATTACTACAGTGGAGTTTTTTGGTAATAACAAAGGAAAGAAGTACCAATACATGCTATAACATGGATGAATCTCAAACATGCGTAGTCAAAAGGTCACATAGTATATAATTCCATTTATATGAAATATCCAGAACAGGCAATTCTACACAGCTAGAAAGTAGATGAGTTGCTGTTTAGGGCTGGGGTAGGAGTGACTGCTAACAGCATAAGGATTCTTCTCTCAGTGAAGGAAACGTATTAAAATCTGATGGTGATGGTGATAGCTGTGCAATTCTGCAAATACACTAAAAACCATTCAAGTATACTCTTAAAATAGGTAATTTTTAAAATATGCAAACCACATCTTAATTAAGCTATTTAAAAGTCGTCAAGTAGGGTACCTTCCATTAATATTACTGCATTTTTTTCTGAAAGAATGTTATGTAAAAATTCTTGCCACGGCCGAGAGCAATGGTGCACAAATGGAATCCCAGCACATTTGGAGGCTAAGACGGGAGGACTGCTTGAGCCCAGGAGTTCAGGACCAGCCTGGGCAACATAGGGAGACCTTGTCACTACAAAAAAATTTAAAAATTAGCCAGGTGTGGTGACATGCATCTGTAGTCCCAGCTACTTGAGAGGCTAAGGCAGAAAGATCACCTGAGACCAGGAGGTCAAGGCTGCAGTGAGCCGTGACGGTGCTACCGCACTCCATCCTGGGCAACAGAATAAGACTCCTGACTCAAAAACTAAAAAGCCAAACTTTTACCAGCCACAGAGGCTCAGCCTGTAATCCCAGCACTTTGGAAGGCTGAGGCAGGACTGCTTGAGCCCAGGAGTTCGAGACCAGTCTGGGCAAGACAGTAAGACGCTGTCTCTACTGAAAATAAAAAATTTAGTCAAGTGTGATGGTGGTGCTTGTAGTCCCAGCTACCAAGAAGGCTGAGCTGGAGGATCACTTGAGGCCAGGAGTTTGTGGAGTTCAAGGTTGCAATGAGCTATGATCGCACTGCTGCACTCCAGCCTGGGTGACAGAGCAAGACTCGATCTCTATTTTTTTTAAAAATTCTCTCAGAACCTAATCTTGCTCCACTGACAGCTTGGTTCCTCCCTGGCACTACATCTTCCCTCTTTAAGGGAGGAAAAGTACAGGGGAGGAGTAAATATCAATTTTTTTTGAAACATAAGTGTAAATCCCCATAGATTAAAAAATTCTCAATTGCTAAGTAACTGCAAATATTTCTTAGGGCTGATAAAGAATAAAATGTCTCTTAAAATAAAGAAAATGAACTATATATCATGTGACAATTTTCAAAATTCTGAATGACAGAATACAGAACTTTCTCTTTTTTTGAGTTGGAGTCTCACTCTATTGCCCAGACTGGAGTGCAGTGGAACGCTCCGGGCCATTGCAGCCTCGACCTGCTGGGTTCCTGCGATCCTTCCGCCTCCGCCTTCCAAGTAGCTGGAACTACAGGCGCGCGCTACCATGCCTGGCTGATTTTTTGATTTATTGTAAAGATGAGGTCTCGCCAAGTTGCCCAGGTGGGTTTCGAACCCGCGAGCTAGGGCAATCCACTCACCTCGGCCTCCCAAAGCACAGAATTACAGGCTGAGCCACCGAGCCTGGCTACCGGGCTTTATTTCATAAGACTTGAGGTAATTTTAAACAGTTTGGTAGAAAATAGGTAATATTCTGGGAACTTCAATGTTTTCATAAAAACTCAGAAGCCAGGCTCGGTGGCTCAGCCTGTAATCCCGTGCTTTGGGAGGCTGAGGTGAGTGAATTCCCTGAGCCCGCGGGTTCGAGACCCGCATGGGTAACTTGGCGAGACCTCATCTCTACAATAAATCAAAATGAGCCGGGTGTGGTAGCGTGCGCCTGTAGTTCCAACTACTTGGAAGGCTGAGACGGAAGGATCGCTGGAGCCCAGCAGGTCGAGGCTGTGGTGACCGGAAGCAGCCACTGCACTCCAGTCTGGGTGACAGAGTGAGACTCCAACTCAGAAACAAAAAAAAAACCTCAGAGTACTTTTGCATCAGCTGATAAATAATCTCAGTAATTTAAGATCAATGTCTTGTAAATATTTGTCTTTCCAGAAACAATTTCTGTAGGTGGATTGTTTTACCGTCGATGTGAGGAGGAAACTGCCAGGCCTTGTGAGTTGAGGCACGGATGTTCCAGCTATTGCCATGGCAACGGTCTGGCTTATCATACTTCCGCTCTCACTTTCATAATCATCAGTGGCTACACAAATTGGCCTTCCTCGCTGATTGTGTGTTTCTGAAGAAAAAAAAACCAAAATAAATTACAAAACTGTCTGGCTCAACTAACAGTTTATTGAGCATGAAATTCCTTTTCCCATTCTCCATTATTCTTTAAAAGAAACACCTGCTACCATAAAATAGTTATCATTAGGTTTATGTCTTTTAGATAATATTTTAAGTATTTTAAACATAACTCATCTCTAGGGTAATAATTTATAGTTTGCAGAAAAAAACATACAAGTAAAACAAGATATAATAATATAAATATTTCTGCCCTCAGGTAAGGAAACTCATGCTAGTGATCCAGATACTGGAAGACTACACTCAACTACTAGACCCTTAAAGGCAAAGAGCTGGTTAGCTTTGTAGCACCAGCAGCTGCTGAAATTCTTCTTTATTTTTTTGAGTTGGAGTCTCACACTCTGTCGCCCAGGCTGGAGTGCAAAGGCACACTCACAGCCTCTGCAGCCTCGACCTGCTGGGCTCAGGAGATCCTTCCACCTCAGCCTTCCAAGTAGCTGAACTACAGGCACGTGCCACCATGCCCAGATAATTTTTTATTTATTTATTGTAGAGATGAGGTCTCACCAAGTTGCCAAGGCTGGTTTCAAACCCCTGGGCTCAGGCAATCCTCTCACCTCGGCCTCCCAAAGTGCTGGGATTATAGGCATGAGTTACCATGCCTGGCCTGAAATTCTTAATCCATGTTAGATGCTCATGAAATCTTTTTGTTTTATTGAACTGCAAGTACTTTATCAGGCTGCTTGCTAGTATAAATTCCTTCATTTGCCCTAAAGAAGATACTACTGCAACCTAAATTCTACAATTAAGTAAATACTAAATTTGAGTAAATTCCAATTTAAGTAAATTCTAAATACAGAAAACAAGAGCAATAAAACTTTGTGGGGTCTAGTTTTGAAGAAGCAATATGATATTGACTTATTAACCCAATGTTAGTAGTAAACATAATTCTTATATTTGGTTGAATATTAATCTCAATGACATACATGAATAAAATCAAAACTGAGGTTGGCAGACAGGTTAAGTTTTCTTGTACCTTTTTCAGATGCACAGTACACTTTCACATAAACCTAATTCCTAGAAGGTAGGTATAGAATTGCTATAAGATCCTTATTTTAAAATTCAACATTAAGAACTACTTATAGGAATCTTGTAGTGAATTCTCTCAATAGTTAAGATTTTTTAGCAAGATGATTAAATACGGAAGTTTACTTTTCTCAGTGCACATTATCTTATTTTCCTAAAATAAGATCTTTCCCCTTGATATATGTTCTAAAATTGTAAACATGAGTTTTGCTTTTAAATCTGACCGAATTACACTAAGTACCTGTGAAATCATACAGCTGAGGGACAGTTTCCATGATAATACCAATCAGAGGTAGATACAGCATAGCCACCCGAGCTTTTATCTGAGGGTCAGAGTACCGTGGGTCTGAGTCATGGCTGGAAAGCAAATTGTGTACCATATTGATGACTTTCTTATGCAATCCAAACAGTCTATTTAAAAAGAAGAAGAAGAAAAAGGAGTAAGGTCACAAAGATTAGTTAATATCTTTAAAACAAACAGTCAGTCAAGGTACTGAAAAAATTCTGTTTAATTTCTTAACTTTGCCATATATTTGAATGCACTCCTGAAAACATTTATCATTAAAAAATTAAATGTATCAAGTATATAAAATAACAATTGAGAAAAAGGAAATGCTATACAAATTCACTGGAGTAAATCTGAATATTTTAATATTAACTCCTTATTGGTATATTTGATCAAAGAACTTAAGACTACTTACAGTTACATTCTGAAGTAAAACAAGGTACATTTTAAGTAGCTGTAAATTTCATTTCATCAAACGAGATCTTTTCACATTTACCAAAAGTAAATTATTTTATTTTGCTGAAAGAAAACTCCTCTATCTCATGGATTATGTCATCCACAGGCTGGGGTTGCCTTTGACATCTCTATTTATTTTACTTTTTTTAAAATTTAAAGATGTGGAGTATAATTCAAGATGAGGTATACAAGTCGTCATTGTACAGGTAAAATTTGGTCCTCCCTTTGGTCCCCACTTTGCCTGGTTAGAGATAAGGTACCCTTATTGATGTTGTGTCCCATCCCCTTCTACCCTGGCAATATCCCGCTACTGCCAATCCCTTTCTTATAGCGTTATGGTAAATGTCCAGGGTCCACTTATGAGTGAGAACATGTGGTACTCTGTTCTTTGTTTCTGTGACAGATCACCGAATATTATAGACTCTAAACCCATCCAAGTTGCTGTTAAGTCCACATGTTTGTCTTTCTTTATGGCTGCGTAATATTCTATTATGTATGTACTACTTTTTTTTGGTCTAGTTCAGTATTGACAGGCAGCATAGTTGGTTCTATGTTTTTGCTATTATCATCAGAGAAATGCAAATCAAAACCATATTGAGATACTACCTAATCCCAGTAAGAATGGCCATCATTAATAAAACAAACCATGGATGCTGGCGAGGATGCGAAGAAAAAGGAACGCTACTACACCGCTGGTGGGAATGCAGACTAGTGCAGCCTCTTAGGAAAACAGTGTGGTGATTTCTAAAAGAACTAGACATTGACCTCCCATATGACCCAGCAATCTACCTACTGGGAATATACCCGGAGGAACTCAAATCATTCTACAAATAAGATACTTGCACACGCATATTTATTGCAGCACTATCCACAATAGCAAAGACATCTCTATTTAAACTGAACTTCTTTCTCACATACTTCATGTGGTCCTTACAACTTTTCTAGACTCCCAATTCCCCTCAGTTTCAACTGGGCTAATATAACAGCAAGGGCCACTGTCACCTTAACATTTCCCGTCTCTCTACTTAGATGGAAGGCACTTTGACTAAGCAAACCATTCTGTTAAAAATACACCCACAGCCACTTCAGCAGCCTCTGCTGTGCACCCAGCAGCAGTTTCAGATCCCACTCCCCTTAAGCTTCTTATATCAACTGCTACAGAAGACCTGAACCTCCAACCTCTCTTAGGAAAGAAAGGCCATTCTGCATTTGCTCTGGATAGATCTTTCAACGCATCTCCATTTTCAAACCTACTAAATCATCTTTCCTTTTTGTTTCAGAAAAAGGACCATCTCACAAAAAGTAATTTCTCCGTATGTTCAAATGAACCCCATCTTTCTTCAGTAGCTTCAATGTCTCCCCTCATTAAGTTCTTCCTGTTTTTTTCAGATATGCCTTTCTTATCTTGAAAATACATCTGCACTTTAAAAACTGGGAAGAGAAAACAGGTAGCCTTACTCCAGATTTTCCTGCCTTTTTACATCCTTGCAAATAAAATCTGGATGGGAATTCTCCCTTCCAGATTTTTGTTCAGAAAGTGTACTTTTATAGAGGCTTTAAAATATATGAAGGCAAACAGCTGAAGGATGGGTGCACATCTCAGACTGCGGCACCCAGAATCCACCTGTACTGGGCGCATCACCTGCCAGGTGGCATCACTGGGCCTTCCCTCCCTCAGCTCACCTAGAAATACACCTGTGACAGGATGGCTGGCCACAGGCGTCATGCTCCCCTGCACCTTTGTGTTGTCAACTGCTGCAAAAAGTGTAACCACACCTGTGCCCCAAGAAGAAGGTCAAGTAATGTCCCTCTGAGGCTCCTCCTTCCCTGCAGGGCGGCCAGGCCAAAGCCCCAAGGCCCTGGGGCCTCAATAAAGTTTCTCTTTTGTTGACTAGAAACAAAAAAGAAAGGAAGTACCTGTAAACACTGTCAAGAACTCCATCAATGGTCTCCTGCTCTCTCCCTGGTGTTCTGTCATCCTGTATTTTCTCTTCTCAGTATTTCCTCCAGGAATTCCCATCCTTCCTCATACTCTCCAACGTTATTCCCAAGGCTCAGATTCTGGTCCTTTGCTTTTCCTGCTCTCCCCTTTGATTGTTTTTATCACCATGAATGATTCTCAAACCTGAGTAGGTATGCCTTATCTCTCAGCAGCCACCAAACCCAAACTTCAACCTAGCTAAACTCAACTCACCCATCTTCATGAAGTCACAAAACTCAATCACTGTCAATTATTAAACATATTTATGTAAGACCTGCAATATTCTATTTGAGATGTTGAAGATAAGGCATTGCCCTATTTTTAGGGAGCTCACTTTAGCAGGAGAGAAACACAGACAAATGTAATAATTCTTCAATGTTACAAATGCTATAATAACAGTATAAAGCCATTAAGCTTCTAAAGCACTATGCATTACAAAATTAGCATTTAGGATGGGTTCAATGGCTAATTCTTGTAAGCTCAGCACTTTGGAAGGCTACAAGAAGAGGATTACTTGAGGTCAGACCAGGCTGTGCAACATAGAGAGACTCCCATCTCTACAAAAAAATTAAATTAAATTAGCCGGGCATGATAGCACATACCCATAGTTCCAGCTACTGAGGAGGCTGAGGCAAGAGGACTGCTTGAGCCCAGGAGTTCCAGGATGCAGTGAGTTAAGATCATGCCACTGCACTCCAGCCTGGGCAACAGCAAGACTCTGCCTCTAAAAAAACAAACCAAACCAAAAAAAAAAAAAAAATTACCATTTAAACAGAGGATACTGTTTCATCGTTTTAACTTTCTAACTGTAATGAAAGTTTCCAAAGAGCAAATCTTTGGTCCATTAGGAACATATTACTGCCACTTAAGAAATTATTGGCCGGGCTCGGTGGCTCAGCCTGTCATCCCAGCACTTTGGGAGGCCCAGGCCAGTGGATTGCCTGAGTCCACGGGTTCAAGACCAGCCCTGACAACTTGGCAAGACCTCGTCTCTACAATAAATTTTAAAAATTGCTGGGTGTGGTAGCATGTGCCTGTTGTTCCAGCTACTTGGAAGGCTGAGGTGGAAGGATAGCCAGAGCCCAGCAGGTCAATGCTGGGGTGACTGTGAGCGTGCCACTGCACTCCAGTCTGGGTGACAGAGAAAGATTCCGACTCAAAAAAAAAGAGAAATTATTCCGATTACTTAGCAAACAGGTGAAGTAAAAAGGCAAACACTCCTCTCGAGGGTCTTTCTAAGACAACATATGCAGCATATCATCTATGTATCTCTCAAGAAAGTACAATTTAGAATTTCTCACACTCATTCACTCACTGAAGTAACATACAGTTATCAAATATACCTTTGTACTGGACACAATAGTAAGGCACTGGGAGTATAGCACTGAACAAGAAAGACAAGGTTCCCGTTCTCATGCTCTCCTGAGCTCACATTCTTTTTTTCCCCCTCCTTCCCCAAGCTCACATTCAAATGGGGACAGATAATATACAAATCTCTGATAAGTGTCCTGCAGGAAATAAAACAGTGTTATATGGATAAGAATGACTGACAAGGGACCATGACTATAATTTAGATTGAGTTGCTAATGAAAGCCTCATTGAGAAAATGTTGTTTGAGTGGAGACTTTAAGAACCACAAGGAGGAAGTGGGTATGCGCAGATCTTAGGGTTGTTCTGGCATTGCTTCTGGAAGAGAAAAGCCCAAGTGCAAAGGCTCAAAGGTGGCGATGAGCTTGGTGCATCAGAGAAACAGAAAGCGGGCCAGGATGGCCAGATCTCAGTACATGAGGAGGGAAGAGCGTCAGTAGTAGACAAGAGCCAGATATACGGGGCTAAGAGGACCATTATTAAGAGTTTCGATTTTAACATGCTATTTAAAATACACACACACAGGAGAGTTTCAAGCAAGGCAGTGCCATAACCTGTTTCCCATTTTCAGAAGACCATTCAAGTTGCTATGTGGGGAGCATATTGGAAGCATTATTAGGAAAGCAGTAGTTGGGGTGGAAAGTGGTGGCTGACCTTGAGATAAATGTTGGAGGCAGAACTTGTGGGATCTGCTAATGGACCGGGAACAGGAAAGAGTAGGAACGACAGAAATAAGCAGGATTAAAAGCGAGGTTATGAGCATATACACTACTATTTAAAGCTATTCCAGTATCTCATTAACTGAACAGACAAAAGGTAGCAGTGAACACAACAGTCATTATTACCTGGACTTCACAGAAAATCTCTCCAAGTGTCAAAGGCACATTCGAGCTTGAAGAGGCAAAAGAGTAGTAAAGAATTCTTTCCTAAGTCCTATACTACTCTACAGAAACATAAACTTATTTTAATAGACGTGATCCTTGACATTAAAAAAAAGTACTACAGAAATGGCCAAGTGTTAGAATTCTCTATTTTTAATATCCGAGACTGCTGAACTCCTAACACAACATGTACTTCTGTCTTCCTAACTGAACTCGCGTTTTGTCCAGGTATATACTCCTCCCCCATGACTCAGGAGAAGCTCACTCCATTCTCAATTTCAGGAGCAGATTCTATTTAGACTGGCCCTGTCGCTTACAGCAACCAGTTAGCCAACTTTGGTCATAGTCTAAGCAATGTTAATTGAGAGGGTCTAGCAAAAGCAATCATATGAACTAAACATTGTGTCTAGTGACACAGCTGATTTACACTTAGG